ACAAATATTCATGTACATTTATATTTATGTTTGTGTGTGTTGTGCGAAATTAATTAAAGTTGTATTAAACATTTGCACTTCATGTTCTTAATCAAAAAAAAGCCCGCTCAAAAGTTGTGAGCATTGCTGGTGTATTTAAGGTTATCATTAAATTCATACACAAGAATAAATTTTAATGTAGAGCATGTACAATATGATGTGAGTACGTGTGTCGTAAAAACAACATTTTTTTCCGAAATTAATACTGACAAGTACTTAACGCAGTTGAAACAGAGAGTGTGAGCTGAATTTGACACAAATACGATAGCATTAAGACTGAAGAAATATTTTTTATTTCAATTCTTAATATGATGGGAGGATTTGAAAAGTAAAAGCTAAAAATATTATGTTGTACCATTTAGATGACGAGCCTTCAAAAATCCTTCCTCCCATTTCCACCCAGCATTTAAAGGGAGTTCCTTGTTCCTGTTTTTTATTTTTTGTATTTTATGCCAACGTATTTAGTTCACATGTGCTTATTTTGAATTTAATGCAAACAAATCGGGGTTTTTATGTTGATTTTACTTCTTCATCTTCTTATCTACACTTCTGCTCAAGTGCTCCAAGTAAATTCCGAATGTTTGACTTGGTCGTTTCACTTTCACAATCCAGAGAATGACGCGAGGATGCCACACTCTGGCATGTTCCATATATGTAATATTTTTTGAACAAAAATCTATGATATATATGTGCAACCATGTTGATATGTTGAATTCATCAGTCACATACTGGATGCTCACTGGTTGTCACCACTGCGTCACAATGAATGACTGACTGAATGCAACATTATCTAAACCCATTTCCATGCTTCAGTGAAACAACAAACATTTATGTGTGTATGTGTGTTTTTTGCTTTTTTCCTCGTAAACAGACATTCAACAGCATTCTAAGAGAACAAAGTCAATATGACTGTACGGGTATAGTTCTAAAGTCCTTCGTTATCCTTTTCTATGATGATTTATTTGTTTATTCTTCTCTGCAGAAAAAAATACAAGATTGAATAGTGATGAATTTAATCCAGCTTTTTTATAAATATTTTTCTCTCCCCATCTCTTTTAAACAAACAAAATATTTAGGACACATTCAGAGAATGAAAGCAATCGGTTTGTTGACGACGAGAGTGTCCATAGGTTGAAGTTTCATAAATAATCTATTCTGTGTGCTACACATAAATATTTTCCCTTTTTATTTTCAAGATTTAATATGTGTATATTCCAAGACACATCCTAATTATTATGAACCAGAATGGAAAGGACCAAAGTCGACGATGCGACTATATATGGTATCATATACCACTTTGAGTACAAGAAGTTTTTCTATGAATCTAATTTCACTGTTGCACAAAATCGTGAAATTCTTTATAGGGATCCAGAAAGCCAAGTTTTTGAGAAATTTCGCTTATTTTTATTTTGGAAAGGATTTTCACATGTTTTAATCATCTTTTTCAACTTTTACCCGGTCTATGGACACTGAGAATTATTTAGAAGGCAAAAGAAATTCTTCGCAGAAAATTGTCTATGTCGGCCCATTTTTGTCATAGACCTCATATAAAGGTCTCTAACCACATTTTCGGTATGTTGAAGGTCGTAACCAGACCAAAGTTATAATTAGGATAACATTTTCCGGGCGAGAAATTTACATGGTCATTGTTCTAACACATACACCATATAAAGGTCCGAACCCATTTTCGGTACTTTTAAGGTTTTAGCCGGAAGTGGCTGTCAGTTGACATTCCCGGAACGTGGAGGGTCACATACATCATTGCAGAACATATAAAGAATGTTGATGTTCCTAAACACATTTGCAAATGTGATTTATATGAAGTGATTAAAGTTTTGCATTCCCGTAGGTAAACATCTTCAATGTAGTTATAATAAACCCGCCTATTGCAGGACTTTGAAGGTTTCACGGGGATCTGACACCCAGTGTGGCTGTAATTGCGTATTGCAAGTTGTTGTGTGACTGTAAATATTTAATGAAAGCACGCATTTCTAATTTTTCCATTATAAAAAATTGCGGATGCATCTTTTTTGAACACCTGTGTCTATATGAAGGAGTTGCCAGATCGAAACAAAATTTAACATGTGTTCATAACAGAGATGGTGCACAATTTACATAAAATCGGAAAAAAATTATATATATAGGATATATATCTAAATCTGAACCCCGATTTTAAAAAAACTTCACATACATAAGTATGGACCTAATTCAGAGCTCTGTTGAAAATTTGTTCTCATAACAGTGGAGCGAGAGTTATTGTGAGCTAGAATTTGATGTCAATGTATACATGACCCCATTTGACCTTAAGACCAGTAAGATGTCTTACGTCTGTGGCATACTGTTATAAGGCTTTAGGGTACTTCATATATTTCAAGCCTTACAATGGAAATGCGAATATTCACCAGAAATTCAAAATTTTTACGAGCTTTATTATCGAATAATTTTTTTCACTTCGGTTGAGACCCCGTCAAAGACTTCAACATAATCTACTGGCATCGAAAGTCGTTTACCACACATTCCTTTTCTTGATAGGTGGTATTCTAAATAGTAGGTGGCCTCAATGAATTTCTATCGAATACAAGACCTCATTAATTTTCCATAGAATAACTCTTTATAATTCTAAGGAATCGAAGGCCCAATTGAATGTGCTATGGTCGTGTACATGTTTGGATACAATTAAAAACTCCATTCCCATGATATTATAAATGAATTGTTTAGAAATTAATTGATCATTTTATGGGGCAAGGTGTGTACCTATGACCCCCATCTTCGAACTTGTTTTCAGTTTGGAAGAAATAAGATGGTGTACAAAATGTTTGGATTAAAACGATTACTCCCTTCAAAAACTGGCATTTTAAAACCTTTCTAAATTTTCAGAAACGCCTTTGGTATAAAGATGTGGTCTTAAACTAGAGGTGTGCAGAGAGGAAATGCTCGGAGAGTAAATGAGAAACCGCCATATGAATGACTTACTAAAAGAGAACGTAGAGAACGAACTTATTGATAAATGTAAACAAGGGCACCTATTCCCATGCTTGCACAGGGCTATCTTAAACTGATATGTCTTGGAAATAAATTTGTAATCAGATAAAAACGTATATATCTCCATTACCATTAAGGCGGAGGGTAAACGAAGAAGATCTGTGGAAGGATCGATAACTATATTAATATCTATATGACAGTTTCTATACATATATACTAGCACATGAACGCTACTTTTTTAATGGATGTTATAATTATTTAAACATGTCAAAAGATAATGAACTTACACACCAATGTTAGTACCATTTAGTTCTTTTGTTATTTTATTGTACGTATTTTTAAAATTATCTCCATGTGTCAACACAACACACCAATTCTCAATGCAATACAAATCTAGTTATATACTAAGTTTAGTACCATTTATTAACATTCGTACTCTTTTAGTACTTATTTCGAAAAACTAATTCCAAATTTAATGATTCGAGCTCGGTTCACCCAAATCTTAATTTGACCAAATTTAGTACGATTTAGTACACATTAATACAAATCCAATAGAAGCCATATTTCCTAATCTCAAGATTCCAGTCCGATCATTCACTAAATTTTATAACATTTTCAGCACGTAAGTATGAATTTCCAAATCTTGTTATATAGCCCAATCATAAATCCCAAGAGGGATCATAAATTAAAAATTTAAGATTACAGATCTATCGATTCTAATTCACATTTGGTACCATTTAGTGCACAGTAGTGCAATCTTCCAAAACTTCTTGTTTATTTCAAATTCCAGGATTCCTGCTTTATCTGTTAGTACAGTACAAAATTACCTCCTTATATCGATTCTACATCTCAACGACCAGCTCTATCGGTTCAAATCCACATTCGGTACCATTTAGTACACATCAGTGCATTCTTCAAAAACTCCTTGCAACTTCCTATGAATTTTTCAAAACTACCTATATCATATATCCAATTAAAATGTTGTTTCCCAATATCAGGATTCCAATTCTATCGCTTTAAATTATAAAACCTGTACCAAAAAATAGTACAATTTAATACGTTTCGTGCACATAAGTACATACTTCCAAAACTCCCTACATATCGCTATTCTACACTCCGACGGTAATGTTAATTTCAATTCATCCGTTTCTCTAAATTCAAATTGTACCAAATTAAACTGCATCGAAACTACATCCTTATCAACCCTACATATCAACCTTGATTCGCATACCAAATGTCAATCCACGAATTTCCAAATTTCAAGATTCTAGCTTCAGCCGTATCGTCTGGGCGTTGATGAATCTTTAAGTCAGTCAATCAGTCAGTCAATCGATTTACTCCTAGAGAGAGAGAGACCCGCCAAAGGTCCTAAGTCTGCAGTATCTCAACAACAATTCTAAGCTTTGTTAACTATTTTATAATATTTTTTTTTCGAAACGTTTTACAATATGTCACATTATTTATGTACATTCATATTTCCTATTTCACATCTTCTTACACTCCCAAGAGCACCCAATAAGGAATGGAAATATTAATGATGGTAATTTAGAAAACTGCATACTCTCTCATTTTTTTTTGTATTATAAAACATAAATTTTACAACTTGAATGAAATGTATTTTGCTGTGTCAGTAAAGCAGCTTAACAGAATTGTTACTTCATCATAGTTTCCAGAATTGCTACTGTGGTTTGAATTTTGCTTCCATAAGCAATTTTTTCTTTTCGTTGCTCAACAATTTGAAATGGTAGAGCACTGGTAGATTATAATCGACAATAAAGGCAATGAATATAAATGGAAATGAAAATATGTTTTATGTTAAATGGAATTTTTCATTTGAAATAAGGAAATCAGCACATAATGGAAGCAAGGACTTTTGATAAAAGGGTGAGGAAGTTTGCTATTCCTTTTGGAGTATTTGTCAAAATATAGTCTGTGTTCTCTCTGACATCTAAATATGTATGCAATAATTATGTACTTACATGTGTAAAATAGTAATAATGTACTGAAGCACCTCGTTCGGCCAATGCCTGAGCATATTCATTTGTGGGACACGTAAAGAAGTGATCACCAACAGCTCGTCCGATTTGTTGTTGATTTTGGTATCCGGGATTACCTTCCCAACTTGTGTACTGCAATGAAATGCAATAAAACACATTTATTTATATAAATTAATATCAAATAATTGATAGCAATTTTTACCATTTAAAATTAATAGCAATTAATTGCGAATCGTAAATAAATCAAAAGCTATTAAAAAAATAATAATTAATATGTCGTGAATTTTTGATGAGGTAGTTTAATACGGATGATTATGACATTTAATTAAAACATAATCAATGGAAGTAAACAAACACTAAATACCTGAAAAACGATTTAAATTTTAACTTTCCTCCCATTATTTCCCACCAGATACGAAACGTGCCAACTTTTTTTCAAACGATTTTTCTACGATTTTTTTAATTCGGAAGACATTGCATGTATCATTTTCTATAAACACAATTTGCTTTTATATAAAAGTGTGTTCCCTAATCCCTGTTAGCTTATTATATATTCCTCATCCTGAATAAGTTCCCTGTCGGCAGTGTTGCCAAAACTTGATTGAGAAAAAGTGCTAGATTTTGTTGAAAAATATGCTAAAAAGTGCTAAAAATTTTAGAAAAGTGCCAGAAAAAAGTGCTAAAAATTAATATAAAGAAATTTGATTATATTTAATATTTTGTGGAGATGTTATAAGTATATGTGTTACAACAGCTTGTAACGTCACGAAATATTGGTCCTGGACGCACATTTTAGTATACGGATCGTCATGTTTTTTTCTTGATGCCGCCTTTGTAACCCGAACACCAATAACCCAATAAATACGGAAATCTACTCTACGGAAAACCATGGCTGCTTTGATATTTTTTTTAATTAAATGAGCCAAGGCTTTAGCAAGACAATTAAAAAAAATTCTATGACATTTTTTCTTGCCAAGAGAAGTCAAGCTGACCTTTAAATTTATTTAAATTATATTGGTTTATATACACTAAATTGTTCACAGTGTTTTATACCCTCCACCATAAGGTGGAGTCTATATTAAATTTGTCATTCCTTTTGCAACACGTCGAAATTTTCACCGGAGACATATACATATATATATTCTCGATCAGAGTAAAATTCTATATCGATTAAGGCATACCCGGCTTAATATTGTACCTGCCAATATGGGGATTTCTATCATAACATGAGTTTTCTACTAGGAGGCCCCATTAATTTTAGACATTTTGATTTTCATCCTCATGGTGGAGGATATAAAAAGTTCGGATGGGCCAAACTTAAAATCATGTTTACTTGTTATGTTCTGATATTGTAGTATTATTATAACCCAGGAGGTGGATAACTCGCAGAATTTTTCACCGACATGGCAATTAGTTTCGCAGAAAATTTAAGTCTTGTAGTAGTTTCATATCATCATCATATAGATAGCCCCGTCCGACTATACTTCTCCAATCACTGGAAAAACATTGGAAAATCAAATCCACTATGTAAAACATACAGAAACGTCAATGTGAAATCGAAAAACCACAATTTTTCGAAGTGATACTAAAATTTTTGAAAAAATCTTGGAACAAATTAAAAATGCTAAAAAAAGTGCTAGGTGCTAGAGCGATTTTTTTGGTGCTAAACGAGTTTAAAAAGTGCTAAATCTAGCACTAAAAGTGCTAAATTGGCAACACTGCCTGTCGGCCTCCATACCTCCCCTATAACATTAACGCGAATCTAATCTGGTCGTGCATATGCCTACAACAATTAGATATCACTCGAGGGGATTAACTCGACAACATTCAGCGATACCGATTTAGACAACTCCATTTTAAAATTAGCCACCACACCATCACACACACATGTGCACAATTGCATTGCCGTTAATATGAACATGAACATTCACATGTCCACATTTTAATCCTCTGTCATTTAGAGTTATTAATTTCGATGAGCGATAACATTAAAATGCATTCAGACTAATATGTTTAACGTCATTGCGTCGTCAGGCAATCGAGTCATAATTTACACCGAGCTGTTGGCTCGACTGTAATTGAAGTGGAATGGGGAGGATGTAGAGGGCATTATTGGTGGGCATTATTGGCAATTTGAGTGAGTAATTGACGATATGCAAGCAGAATAGATATCTGATAAAACGATTATGGCTATGAAATATAGAAAAATAATTGAACACATTTTAGTTAAAATCTATTGATAACAACAATTATTTTGGTCTAAACGATGGAAGAAAATTAATACTGGTCCTGGGAAAATATTCGTTTGAATATTCCCTGGTCTTTGAAATGTATTCTTTTAAATATTCCTATTCCTACTTAATGTGTGGATTTTTCACAAGAACACTTTAATTGGTCCTTGGAAAAATATTCCTTCCAAATCGCACGCCTGTGCTAGTCCTTAAGAAATGTGTTTTAAAAAATCTATGCCTATTTTGGTCCTTGAAAAAAATATATTTTTAAAAATTCTGTGCTATTCCTTACAAAATGTGCTCTAAATAATCTATGCCTATTTTGGTCCTTAAAAAAATATGTATTAAAAAATCTATATTTATTTTGGTTCTTTTGGTTCTATTAAAAAATATATCTTTAAAAAATCTAAAATCCTGTGTTCGTCAATAAAAACCTGTAAAATGTCGTTTACCGGATTTGGTTAACCGAGTGGGTTTAAATTTTCAATTCCTTTGAATATATGCCAAATAAATCCTCATAAAGAAAAATATATAAGAAAAATTTTGTTCAAATCGGACAAATATTGGGTGTTTGGGGTATCATTAATCAAAAATCGGACGAAACTATATATGGGATCTATATCTTAATCTGAACCGATCTCAACAAAAATCCGCATACATTAGTCTGGACCAAATTTACTACTCTGTGCAAAATTTTGTCTCAATCGGACAAATTTGGAGTTTGGGGTATTATTCATCAAAAATCGGACGAAAATATATATGGGAGCTATATGTAAATCTTAACCGATCTCAACAAAACTCCGCATACATTAGTCTGGACCTAATTTAGTACTCTGTGCAAAATTTTGTCTCAATCGGACAAATATTTGAAGTTTGGTGCATCATTCACAAAAAGTCGGACGAAACTATATATGGAAAATATATCTAAATCTGAACCGATTTTAACAAAACTTCGCAGACATCAGTCTGGGCTTAATTTAGTACTCTGTGCAAAATATTGTCTGAATCTTACAAATATTTAGAGTTTGGTGCATCATTCACAAAAAATCGGACGAAACTATTTGGGAGCTATATCTAAATCTGAACCGATTCCAACAAAACTTCGCATACATATGTATGGACCTGATTCAGTACTCTGTGCATAATTTTGTCCCAATCACACACATATTGGGATATCGGACGAAACTATATTTGGGAGCTATATCTAAATCTGAACCAATTTTCTCCAATTTCAATAGGGTTCGTCCTTGGGTCAAATAAGTGAACTGTGCCAAATATCATCCAATCCGGATTATAAATGCTACCCCTATTTTGTTCCCAAAAATACATTGACGGACGGAGAGACAGACGGACATGCGTAAATCGACCCAGAAAGTGATTCTATGCATATTCTCAAAAGGAACCTTTTGATTGTTACATACATATGCAAAAAGACATAATATCCTGTACCACAGTGTGGTGATGGGTATAAAAATATTGTTTAAAAGATCCACGCCTATTATAGTCCTTGAAAAAATATTCCTTAAAAGATCCACGCCTATTATAGTCCTTGAAAAAATATTCCTTAAAAGATCCACGCCTATTATAGTCATTGAAAAAATATTGTTTAAAAGATCCACGCCTATTATAGTCCTTGAAAAAATATTGTTTAAAAGATCCACGCCTATTACAGTACTTGGAAAAATAGTATTTTAAAATCCACGCCTATTACAGTACTTGGAAAAATATTATTTAAAAATCCACGCCTATTATAGTCCTTGAAAAAATATTCCTTAAAAGATCCACGCCTATTATAGTCCTTGAAAAAATATTCCTTAAAAGATCCACGCCTATTATAGTCATTGAAAAAATATTGTTTAAAAGATCCACGCCTATTATAGTCCTTGAAAAATATTCCTTAAAAGATCCACGCCTATTACAGTACTTGGAAAAATAGTATTTAAAAATCCACGCCTATTACAGTACTTGGAGAAATATTATTTAAAAATCTACGCCTATTTTAGCCCTATTCTTTAAAAAATCCACGTGTATTATATTCCTTAGAAAAGTATTCTTAAAAAGTCCATGTCTATTATAGTCTCTGAAAAAATATTCTTAAAAAGTCCAGGCCTATTATAGACCATGAGAAAATATTCTTTAAAAAAACCATGCCTATTTAAGTCCTTTAAAAATCCACGACTTGGAAAAAATGCCTGTGTAAATCCACGCCTATTATAGTCGTTGAAAACAATTTAAAAAATCGACGCATATTATAGTCCTTAAAAAATATTAATTAAAGAATCAACACCCATTATAGTACTTGAAAAAATATTCTCTAAAAAATCCACCCCTATTATAGTCTTTGAAAATATTTTTGGATAATCCACACTTAGTACAATTCTTTAAAAATATTTTTTTATAAAAATGCAGTTCTCGAAAAAATATCCTTAAAAATATTTCCTTTAAAAAAATCTATATCTATTGAAGTCTTTGAAAAGAATTAAATCGACTGTTCTCTTGCTTTTTTAAAAAAATCTTTAAAAAAGGCAAGCATGTGCTCGTCAATGGACAAATGTATTTTTTTTTTTAAAAATCCACGTTTCTGTTACTTATTGAAAAAAGTAACAGAACAAATATTCCATACCAATTCAATAATCTTTGACAAAAATATTAAAAAAATCACGCTTTTACCATTCAAAATTTACAAATTGATTGTTGGAAATTATTTTAATTTTGTATTTATATATTTTAATTTGCCCTACATACTTCCTAAATAAATATCCGAAGTGATTACCAAAAAACATTCGTTGGAAACCCCACAATCAGTTCAGCAATCCGGGTGAAATCCTGTCAAGGGATAACGAGTCCATTTAATGCAACACATTTTCATTGTTAATATTTTGTTTGATAATCAAATACAAA